CCTTTGGCTTTTTGAAGTTGCAAGCCTTCAGGATGAAAAGGTTGAATAGAGAAAATGTAAGAGATAAGACAGGAAAGAAAACACGAGAATCCCGGGGGATAATCCATTTCAAGTGAAATTGACATATGCGCCCAGATCAGGCGAATGGTTTGCTTTTCTCCTTCTCTTTCACTTCCATCTCTCTTCTTCTTCTTCTTCTCGCAAATACATCCAACCCAAAAAAAATACCATCACGAATAAAATATCATTTTCTTTTGAATTTTTCTTTAAATTCATTTTATTTTCGAATTTTTGCAAATTTTGACAATATTTTTGCAATACTTGTTCGATATTTTATTATTAAAAAAGGGATGAATATTTCTTTCACTCCTCTTGTAAGTCAAAGATCAGAGAGATGATGATAATCTTCAATATTCGGAAAAGAGGAGAATTTATTTTACAAGAATATAAAAGATTTATTTTTATATTTTTAATAAAAAGAAAATGTTTCTAACAAAATCCGAGTTTTATGACTAAACTCACGTCTTTTTTTTTGGTGCATAAAAACAAATGAATTTTAGATTGAATATAAAAATAGTATTAAAAAAGTTTTAAGTTAGGGAATTTTATCAAAAATAGTACAAAAAATATAAAAATTATTACTATACAGACTTTGCACTCGATGATAAATTTTTAAAAAGTAGCTTTCAAACTAAAAAGAAGTAGTAAAAAAAGTAGCTATTGAAAAATTAAATTAATTAATTAGACGAAATTACTAGAAATTGAAAATAATTGAATTTCGACTATTTTTCGAAAATAATTGAATGGTTTTAAAGAATTTGATTATAATTTTTGAGAATAGTTTTTTTATTTCTAGTGTTAGCGAATTTAAAGTTGTGGAAATTCTAAAAAAAAACAGTAATTCTGAATTACTTACGAAATATACTGAAAACAAAAGAATGATAAAAATGAAAAGAAATTTTCCAAAGTCTGTAAACTTTTGGATTTGCGATAATTTTCTAGGCACACAGCTGCGCGCAAAACAAGAAGATGAAACAAAAGTTCCTTGAAATTGGAACTATTTACAGTGAAACACGTTAAAGGGTTCTCATTATACCATCGAAAGATTTAATACGCTTTGAAAGTTTGGAGTAAAATAATATCCTTTAAAACACAATATATTTCCCATAGAATTTATTTTAAAACGAGAGAATTAGTTTCTAAATCCCTCCTTCATTATAATACTATATGAAACAACGTGAAATTATTTATTTTCTTGTTGGAGGAAATATGTATATATTGCTCGCTATAATTAGCAAGTTTAATCGCACTTGACAAACAATGCAATTTTCAATAAATCTGGGTATACCATTTGAAAAGCTCCACGTTGTATTATTAATTTTGAAATTCAAATAAATCTGTTGTATTACACGAGCGATAAATTCACTTTTCAAATATTCGAGACTAGAGAATAATGAAAAAACTAAAAATTGTTTAAAGTAGGTAAATTAAATTTTTAATTTCCGTCGATCAATTATTTTCGACCTCTATCTATTTCAATCAAATTTACCAAAAAAATTTTTTAAATAAATTAAAACCATCAAAAAAATATTTTTTTTTGAAAAAAATTTTGTTTTTCACTAGAATTCAATTATTTTTAAAGAATTTAATAAAAATCGTTACAAGAACTCAATTATCTTCGTATAAATAAAAATAACCGATTACTTGACTATTATCGAGGAAATATTTACTTGAATCAAATAATTTCGAAATCCTGGAAAATTGTTATTTTCTAAAATTTATTCTTGAAATTTAATTTTACATAAATATTTCAAAATTAATTAAATTTTAAAAAAGTTGCGATTACAATTTTCATAAGTACAGATGAATTTCAAAAGATTTTAATTTGAAATTTTGTAAAATATCAATTTTCAATGAATTTAATTAGAAATCCGTCTTAAAGAACGTAAATTTTTGAGAAATTTTAATTATTCCAATTCTTCTGAAATTAGTTAAATTTTTTAAATATATTTGATTATTAAAAATAATGGATTTATAGAAGAATTTTGAATTAAAAACACTAAAAGAAATTGAATTTTGAAGCAATTACAAATGATTGCAGAAATTCAATTATTTTCCAAATTAGTAAAATTCTTCTTTAGAAATTCAATTATTCCCAACAATTTTAATAAAATTCATGGTAAAATTCCAATTATTTTCCAAAAATTTTCCTCAATTCAATGATTTTTTAATAAATCTACTATACTTTAATAAAATTTTTCAAAAGAATTGAATTATTTAAAAAAAATTTTTAAATTCTACGCAAACATTTCATTATTTTCATAAATAATAAAACTCATCTCAGACTTTCAATTATTTTTAATACACTTTTAATGAAATTCTTCGAATAATGAAATTATTCTTAAAAATTTTATTAAAATTCATCAAAGAAATTCAATTATTATTTAAAAAGACATTTTCATTAAATTCGTCTCAAGAATTCAATTATTTTCAAAAGTAATATAATTCTTCGCAGAAATTTAATTGTGTTCAACAATTTACAAAAATTCTCGTCAAAATTTCAATAATTATAAATTTTTCTTCGAAATTCAAATATTTTCAAAAACTTTAATAAAATTCTTGGCAAAATTTCAATTATTTTCAAAAAGTGTTATAAAAAAAAAGTTTCAAAAACTCTTTTCTATTTGAAGAAATTCAATTATTTTTAATAAAATTTTAATCAAATTTCCGAAAAATAAACTTATTCTCAAAAATTTTATTAAAATTAGTCAAGAAAATTCAATTATTTAAAAATTTGTTGGATAAAAGTCTTTATAAAAATTCAATTTTAAGAAACATTCAATTATTTAATAAAATATTTATTTGCATTTTATTTGTATTTAAATAATTGAATTCTCGTGGATTTTTCTAGTAAATATTAATTTAAAAATGAATTTCAGTTAAAATTTTAGATTATTATTGATTATTGAAAGCAATATAGCATAAATTTTTAGAAATAATTAAATTCTAAAAATGTTTCAAATTAAAATCTTTTAGAAAATTTGAACTTTTCATACTTTTAATTAACAATTCTGTAGAATTTATTTAAAAAAGTTTAATTGAATTTTTCTTTAATTCTTAAAGTTTTTATTTTCTAATAAGTATTTAATTGAAGAATGTCAGAATAAATCAAAATTACGTACAAATTAATATTAAAAATAATTGAATATTTACGAAGAATTTTATCATTTTTGAAAATAATTGTATTCTTGCTAAAAATTTCGTTATTTTTGAAAATAATTTAATTTCTGTAAAGAAATTTATAAAATTTTTGAAAATAATTGAATTTCTGCGAAGAATTTTATGATAATTTTTGAAAATAATTGAATTTCTGCTAAAAATTTTGTTATTTTTGAAAATAATTGAATTTCTGCTAAAAATTTTGTTATTTTTTGCAAATAATTGAATTCTTGAGAAGAATTTTGTTATTTTTGAAAATAATTGAATTCTTGCGAAGAATTTTATAATTTCTGAAAATAATTGAATTTCTGCTAAAAATTTTATTTTTGAAAATAATTGAATTCTTGAGAAGAATTTTGTTATTTTTGAAAATAATTGAATTTCTGCTAAAAATTTTGATATTTTTGAAAATAATTGAATTTCTGCTAAAAATTTTGATATTTTTGAAAATAATTGAATTTCTGCTAAAAATTTAGTTATTTTTTGCAAATAATTGAATTCTTGAGAAGAATTTTGTTATTTTTGAAAATAATTGAATTCTTGCGAAGAATTTTATAATTTCTGAAAATAATTGAATTTCTGCTAAAAATTTTATTTTTGAAAATAATTGAATTCTTGAGAAGAATTTTGTTATTTTTGAAAATAATTGAATTTCTGCTAAAAATTTTATTTTTGAAAATAATTGAATTCTTGAGAAGAATTTTGTTATTTTTGAAAATAATTGAATTTCTGCTAAAAATTTTATTTTTGAAAATAATTGAAGTTCTGCTAAAAATGTTGTTATTTTTGAAAATAATTGAATTTCTGCTAAAAATTTAGTTATTTTTTGCAAATAATTGAATTCTTGAGAAGAATTTTGTTATTTTTGAAAATAATTGAATTTCTGCTAAAAATTTTATTTTTGAAAATAATTGAAGTTCTGCTAAAAATGTTGTTATTTTTGAAAATAATTGAATTTCTGCTAAAAATTTAGTTATTTTTTGCAAATAATTGAATTCTTGAGAAGAATTTTATAATATCTGAAAATAATTGAGTTTCTGCTAAAAATTTTGATTTTTTTTGAAAATAATAGAATTCCTGCTAAAAATTTTGTTGTATTTGAAAATAATTGAATTCTTGCGAAGAATTTTATTCAAACTTTTTTAAGAATAATTGAATTCCTACAAATAATTTTATTATCTATAAAAATAATTAAATTCTTGACAAGATTTTTAAGGCAATTTGTAGAATTAACTTTTTCAAAAATTATTAAAAAAAAAAATTGTTTTAAAAAAGAATTTTAGTTTAAAATTCTAGAAATGAAGATTTGAATTAAAATGAAAATAATTTTGAAGAAATTACAGTAACAATATTTTTATAATATAAAATAATGATAGTATCAAGTTTTAATTATTATAAAGCATAAAGAAAGCGATCAGTCCGAGTCGATGACTCGGAATGATTGATATCTTCTTGTTTTATAATAATATTCTGATATGTAATTGAATTTAAAATTTTTGAAAATTTTAATTTTTGTAAAAAAATAATAATTATTAAATATTTATTTAAAAACGAAGTTATTGATGTTTTTGAGTAATTTTACAATTAAAGAAATTCGTAAATAAATGTAATAGAACAGGAAAATTGTATATAATAATTATATATCATTATACAGAATAATTATATAATTTTTATTTAATTTAGTCAAATACTACTTGAACCAATTTCGAGTGCGAAATATCTGAAAAAAAGTGTCGGAAAAGTATCAAATAGCGTGAGTTGGTGATCCTTATACGGCTTGAATTAAAAAAATGTAATTAAAAAAAATGTACATGAAGTATTGTTAAAAATATGTTATTCCGCATCGAACGAAAGGAAAAAAAGAAAAGAATTGTTGAGGAGAGAATTTTTTTCATTTAGTGGTTTTCAGTGGTTTCGATATACATTTTGAAAAGCTGAGAAAAAGCATTGTTGCTGTACTCGTTAATGAACGATCTATTGAGTGGATTGCTCGTGGCCCATGCAAACGAATGACACTGTCGATCGACAATGCTCGGCTAATGACGGCTTGATTCATTGCAATCGCTTCTCGAGAGCTAGCAGCGTAGATATAGCACACACACATGAGAGGGCCGCCCCTTGGTAATTAACGACTTTAAGCTCCGATCACCTGATATCGGCAAACCTCCCTTGTGGCCATTCACTACCCAAATCTTGAGAGATAAACCTTTCTGCTCCGACATTTTACACCCTCTGCTAAAACATAACCATTTGTCCTACAAGCAGTGCCAATCTGGACGTGTTCCTTTCTACTTTCTCCAAAATTAATAGTGACGCGCTACCAAAAAAGGAACCTAAAAAAAAATTGAATTCTTGTCAAGAATTTTATTAAAAAATTTTGAAAATAATTGAATTTTTTAGATGAATTTTAGTAAAAATTATTAAAAATAAATTGCATTTTTTTTTAGGAATTTACATCAATAACTTGAATTTCAGCCGAAAATTATATTAAAATTTTTGAAAATAATTCAATTCTTTAATGGAATTCAATTAAAATTGAAATTTTATCAAAATTTTTAAAAATAATTCAATTCTTTAATGGAATTCAATTAAAATTGAAATTTTATCAAAATTTTTAAAAACAATTGAATTCTACAGAAGAAATTTGTTATTTTTAAAAATAATTGAATATCTGTGTGGAATTTTATTAAATTATTTTCAAAATAATTGAATTCCTAAAAAGCATTTTATTATTTCTGCAAATAATTAAACTCTTGGAAACGGTTTTATTAAAAAAATTTTTAAATAATTGAATTTTAACGAAGAATTTTATTATTTATGGAAATTAAATGCATTTTAGCGAAGAAATTTGTTATTTATAAAAAATGATTGAATTCTTGCACACAATTAAAAAAAAATTTTGATAATAATTGAATCCTAGCGAACAATTTTGTTATTTACTAAAATAATTGAATTCTTGCCGAGAATTTTAGTAAATTTTTGAAAATAATTGAATTCCCAGGAAGAATTTGGTTATTTATTAAAATAATTAAATTCTTGTCAAGAATTTAAATACAATTTTTAACAATAATAATTAAATTATTTTAAATGCCTCAAAATAATTATTTTAAATTATAGTTATTTATTATCAATAGTGACGCGCTACCAAAAAAAGGAACCTAAAATAAATTGAATTCTTGACTATAGAATTTTATAAAAATTTTTGAATATAATTGAATTTTTTAGATGAATTTTAGTAAAATTGAAATTTTATCAAAATTTTTGAAAACAATTGAATTACACAGAAGAAATTTGTTATTTTTAAAAATAATTAAATGCTTGCAAAGAATTAAAAAAAATTTTTTTTTCAATAATTGAATGCTTTCAAGAATTTTATAATAAAATTTTTGAAAATAATTAAATTCTGACCAAGAATTTTCTTATTTACTAAAATAATTGAATTCTTCCAAAGAATTTTAATAAAATTTTAGAAAATAATTAAATGCTTGCCAAGAATTTTAATAAAAATTTTTTAAATAATAGAATGCTTCCAAAAAATAATTAAATTCTGACGATGAATTTTGTTATTTACTAAAATAATTGAATTCTTTCAAAGAATTTTAATAAAATTTTAGAAAATAATTAAATTCCAGCAAAGAATTCTGTTATTTATAAAAATTATTAAATACTTGCCAAGAATTTTAATAAAAATGTTTTAAATAATTGAATTGTTGCCAAGAATCTTTATAAAATTTGTGAAAATAATTAAATTCTGACAAAGAATTTTGTTATCTAAAAAAATAATTGAATTCTTGCAAAGAATTTTAAGATTTTAACAAAAATTTTTAAATAATTGAATCTTGTCGAGAAGTTTTAATAAAATTTTTATTAAAAATACTTAAATTCTCAAAAATAATTTTGTAATTTAGAAAAATAATTGAATTCTTGCAACGAATTTTATTAATATTTTTAAAAATGATTAAACTCCTAACTCTTTATTTTCTTATTTATGAAAATAATTGAATTACTGCGAAAAAATTTGTAAATAATTGAATTCTTGTGAAATATTTATTATTTATGAAAATTTCCTTTCATCGAAATTTTTTTAAAAATAATTGAATTCTATCACAGCATTTTATTAAATTTTTTTTAAATAATTGAACCTTGTCAAAAAGTTTTATTAAATTGTATTGAAAATAATTGTATTATGAAGAAAAATTTTGATATTTATAAAAATATGTAATTGAATTCTTGCAACGAATTTCATTAAAATTTTTAAACTAATTGAATTCCAGTAAAAAATTTTTTTTATTCATGAAAATTAATGCATTTTAACAAAGAAATTTGTTATTTATAAAAATAATTGAATTATTGCCAAGAATTTTAATAAAATTTATGAAAATAATTGAATTTCTGCTGTAAAATATATATTAAAATTTTTGGAAATAATCCAATTCTTTAATGGAATTTTAGTTCTGGACAAGAATATTATAAAAATTTTGAAAAATAATTGAATTTTAGCGAAGAATTTTGTTATTTGTAAAGATAATTGAAATTTTTACGAGAATTTAAGAAAAATTTTGAAATTAATTGAATTTTAGCCCAAAATTATATTAATATTTTCGAAAATAATTCAATTCTTTAATTTTTATTATTTTTAAAAACAATAATTGAATTTTTGACAAGAATCTTAATAAAATTTTTGAAAATAATTTAATTCCAGCGAAGAATTTTGTTATTTATTAAAATAATTGAATTTTTGTCAAGAATTTTAATAAAATTTTTAAAAATAATTGAATTTTAGGGAAGAATTTTGTTATTTATTAATATAATTGAATTCATGTCAAGAATTTTAATAAAAATTTTTTAAATAATTGAATTCTTGTGAATAATTTTAATAAAATTTTTAAAAATAATTGAATTCTTGTGAAGAATTTTAATAAAATTCTTTAAAATAATTGAATTTCGGTGAAGAATTTTATTATTTAAATGATAATTGAAATTGGGAACAATTTCTAAATTTTTCAAACATAATTGAATTTTTGCAAAGAATTTTATTACTTTTGAAAATAATTTAATTTCTGCAATCAGTTAAGTTAAAGTTCTCCAAAATTCAATTTTTCTTAGTGTTTTTACTAAAATTCTCTCAGAAATCCGTTATTTTTAATAATTAATTAAAAAATTTAACTAATTTCAGAATTCAAATATCAAAATCTAATAATTTGTTTTCTTAGTAAAAAAAAAAAAAAAGAAAAATTGGATTCATTCGATTTATGTAATCACTTGAACCAAAACTTAAAAGAACGAAAAGGTTAAAAATAATGAGAATTATTATAATACATGACCGAGTGACAAAATAATTATTTTATTTTATAAGAATACTGTTACTTTTACTTCTTAAAAATTATTTTCTTATTAATTTATGCAAGAAGATATTTTCTATATTTTGATTCTTAATATTTCCTACTTCTGATTTTTAATACTTTGTACTTTTAATTTTTAAATATGAAATCTATATTCCAATTTAGTGCATCAATTCATAAAATCCTTTGTTTATCTTTTTTTTCCCCGCAGTGACAGAGAAATTGCAGGACAAGTTCGCGAGCAAACACGAGAACTGTTTTACGAATTTTGTAATTCGATTAACATTTTCATTCGCGATGTGAATTCACCTCACAAACATTATTTCGCTTTATTTATGTACTTTTTTTTCCCAAAAGAAAAAAAATTTCGATATTCGAAAAAGTGTAAAGTACAGACCAATTTGAAAATTTTACTAAAACACACATTTTAATTGTACTTTTTGTACACTGTTACAATATAGACACTATAGATACCGAAAAAAAAAACATTTCACAATTTAACAATTTTAAAAGAGACGAAAAATTTGTTTATTTTTGATGCTTCACTTTTTTTTCCAACAGCAGGAAAAATATTTATTAGTTATTTGAACTTTCAAATGAACGAAATTTTTTAAATTCTTATAAATTATCAACTCTTGTTATAAATAAAAAAAAAATATAAAAAATCAAATAAAAAGGAATTTTGTGAATTGAATATGAAAATATTATTATTATTTTACATTTATTCGTATGAAAATATTATTAAAAACCTTTCATTGAAATTGAATTTATTAATATCGTTTGTAGTCTTTGACGTTCAGTCGAGTGATAAAGGTCGTGCTTTGGACAGCCAAAGTGACATGAAAAATATACGTGCTTTAATTAAAACAGGTTCGTGACTTTACTCATAATGGAAAATTAATTTTAATGTTTTACTGAAACTTTTTTCGAAACTATTTCTCGAATAATAGAAAAATAAATTCTTTTGCTAATTTTTCTGTATTATTTTTAACTGTAATAATAAATTTAATAAATTTAATTATTTTCCCATGAAAAAGGTCTAAAAACGAGTTTTTCCAGTCGTTAAATATATCGATACATTTTTTATTACTTTTTTCAATCTTAAAGCTACTTTTCGCCATTTTTTAAAAATTAATTATCGAGTGCGAAGTCTGATATTAAAAAATAGGTTTTTGAAAGCAGATAATAATTACATTCTCATCAAAAATGAGAAAGTCTTGGATTTGTGCGATTTTTTAATAGTATAATTATATTATAATTATACTATATTATAATTATATTATATTATATATAAAAGACATGAAATGAAGACGAAATTTAATTAAAATTTTTCCAAATATATAATTAATAGTATAATAATAAAATTGACGATTATAGTCGTATAATAAATTGTTTTAAAGAGAGTTCGAGTTCCATATAAAAGTGATGGCTAATGGAAATTTGAGCGACGATAAAATATATAGAGAAGTCTTAATTCAGTGGAAGCTGAAAGCTTCGTCATTTTTCTCGCGATTTGAATACCATCGCTTCAGACAATGAAGAATTTTGAAAAGATTCTTTCAAGTTAAGAGCTCAGGAGATTCAATTATAAAAGGCTTGCTTCAAGAAGAGAGAGAGAAAGAGAGAGAGAGAGAGAGAGAGTAGCCGTTGAAAGAAAAGTAATCAGTTTAATAGAAATTAATTGAAGCTGCATCACTAACTCTCCAAATAAGCTTTTTGAGGTTGATGCCCACGGGAAAGGGTGCACCTGGCCAGTTTATTCATTTATTCTAATGAATAAAATTAATTTTTACAACCGCCCAATATTTTCTCTTTAATTTTTGTTCCATATACAAATTTTAATGCCACTTTGATTAATTTTTCTCAAAAAAAAAAAAAAAAAAAAATCCGGCTACTGAAATTTCTTCAAATTAATTTTCAATTACTCCAATCGTATATTTTAATACAGGATTGACACAAAAATTTAATTTTGCTTTTTTCTTTCTTATCCCTGATTTCGAAAAAAATTTTGAACTTTTACCTGATCCTGAAGAATATTCTGATTTCTAAAATCGAATTTTTCAAAAATTTTAACTAAAATTCCGTCTTTAAAAAGTCAATTAAATTTTTCAAAAAGAACTCTTAATTATTATCTAAAATTTTTAACTAAAATTAATTTTTAAATCACAATTCATTACAAAATTCTACGAGAATTCAATTATTTAAATGCAAACATAAATAAATTGATAAATAATTTAAATGAAATTGCATTTAAACTAATTCAATTCTTAATAAAGATTTTTATAAATATTTTTAATAATAATTGAATCTTGTCGAGAAATTTAATTGAAATTGTATTGAAAGTAATTGAATTTTACTAAAAATTTTAATATTTTAATACTTGTAAAGAATTTTGTTATTTATGAAGATAATTGAATTCTGGAAAAGAATATTAAAAAAATTTTTAAAATATTGAATTATAGCCAAAAAAAAAAAAATTGTTATCCATTAAAATAATCGAATTCTTGACAAGAATTTAAAGAAAATTTTTGAAAATAATTCAAATGTTGCCAAGAATTTTATTCAATTTTTTGACAATAATTAAATTTTGGAGAAGAATTTTATTATTTATGAAAATAATTGAAATTTTGACGAGAATTTTAAATAATTTCAAAAGAAACTGAATTTCAGCCCAAAATTATATTAAAATTTTTGAAAATAAATCAATTCTTTAATGGAATTCAATTAAAATTGAAATTTTATCAAAATTTTTGAAAACAATTAAATTCTACAGAAGTTTGTTATTTTTAAAAATAATTCAATTGTTGTCAAGAATCTTACTAAAATTTTTGTAAATAATTGAATTTCAGCGAAGAATTTTGTTATTTTTTAAAATAATTAAATTCCAGCAAAGAATTCTTTTATTTATTAAAATAATTGAATGCTTGTCAAGAATTTTAATAAAATTTTTGAAAATAATTGAATTTCTGCCTTAAAATGTATTGAAATTTTTGAAAATAATTCAATTCTTTAATGACATCTTAGTTCTGGACAAAAATATTATAAAATTTTTGAAAAATAATTAAATTCAATTCTTTAATGTAATTAATTTAAAATTAGTTTTGAACTAATTGAATAATTTGGAAAGAATTTTATCTAAATTTTTGAAAACAATTAAATTCTATCAAAGAAATTTGTTATTTTTAAAAACAATAATTGAATTTTTGCCAATAATCTTAATAAAAATTTTTGAAAATAATTGAATTCCATCGAAGAATTTTGTTATTTACTAAAAATTATTGTATTTTTGCTAAGAATTTTAATATAATTTTAATAAAAAAATTTTAAATAATTTAATTCTTTAATGAAATTCTTATAAAATTATTTTGAAACTAATTGAATTCTTCATAAAGAAATTTATCAAAATTTTGGAAAATAATTGAATTTTATTGGATTATTATATTAATATTTAAAAAAATAATTGAATCTTGTCAAGAAGTTTTATTAAAATTGTATTGAAAATAATTAAATTTCCAAGAATAATTTTGTTATTTATTTATAAGAATAATTGAATTCTTGCAACGAATTTTATTGAAATTTCTAAAAATAATTGAATTTTAGGGAACAATTTTATTATTTATGAAAATTAATTCATTTTAGCGAAGAAATTCGTTATTTATAAAAATAATTGAATTCTTGCCAAGAATTTTAATAAAATTTTGAAAATAATTAAATTCAATTGGAGAATTTTATTAAAATCTTCAAAAATAATTGAATTCTAGCGAAGAATTTTGTTATTTATTGAAATAATTGAATTTCGGAGAAGAATTTTGTTATTTATTAAAATAATTGAATTCTTGTCAAGAATTTTAATAAAATTTTTGAAAATAATTGAATTCTAGGGAAGAATTTTGTTATTTATTAAAATAATTGAATTCTTGTCAAGAATTTCAATAAAATTTTTAAAAATTAATTGAATTTCGGAGAAGAATTTTATTATTTAAAAGATAATTGGAATTTTGCCATGAATTTTATTAAAATTATTGGAAATAATTGAGTTTCTGAGAAGAATTTTATTACTTTTGAAAATAATTGAATTTTTCGATTCATTTGTAACTTGTCCAAGATTCAATATTTTTTTTTAGTGTTTTTAACTAAAATCTCTTATAAATCCATTATTGTTAATAATTAATTTAAAAAATTTAACTAACTTCAGAATTCAAATATCAAAATCTAATATTTTGATTTCTTAATAAAAAAAAGAAAAATCGAATTCATTCGGTTTACGTAATCAGTAGAACCAAAACTTTGTAAAACGAAAAGGTCATCTGAAAATTTTGTAAAGAAAACTTTATATAAAAAAAAATGAGTAGTGATAGATAACCAAGAAATTAATGAATAATTTTGCCTTTGAAAAATGAGATGGGAAAAAAAGTGCATTACATGATTAAAATTTCAAAGTTTTACTTACATTTTGGAACGAGAACTAATCATGTAGTTATATTTAGTGGACGGAGCGGAAGTTTTGAAGACGAAAAATCTTAGATTCTGGAAATTTCTATGCAAATTAATAAGGACGACCTGGAAGACCGGTCGTCGCTCGCTTCGTTTTTCTTCTTTTTTTACAATTCTCCATTTTCTTCTTTTTCTTTTTTTTATCATTACTCTACCGTCTATTCCATAGTTTCTTTTCTCACTCCTCCGCAACGATTGTCCTCTTCTTCCATATTCTTCTTTCACTCTCCATGTACCTTTTTTATAACCAGCAGGTGCCACATTGTACTTCGGCTTCACTGCTACTCTTCTTGAAAAAAAAAAGAAATCTTACTGAGACTTGAGAAATGAGAGTCGGATTTTAGTTATATTTCACTGAATTATTTGTAACTTTTTTTTTTTTTTTGCTTTTCATTAATGGTTTTTAAATTAATTTTGAATTAGACAAGTGTTTGCTGTACCCCAACGTCCCAGGTGGAAAAGTTATTTTAATGTTAGCCTAACGTTAGTTGAATGTTAGTTTAATGTTAGCCTAACGTTAGTTGAATGTTAGTTTAATGTTAGCCTAACGTTAGTTAAATGTTAGCCTAATGTTAGTTTAACGTTCCCTGAAAAAAATATTCTTAATTTAAGAATATTTTTTTTTCAGTGTGGTATTAATTTCATCATTTATAAGGGAATCGAAATCAACATCATTTAAATGTATCATGATTGTATGTACTATTGATCTGAAAAGGAAGAAAGTGGCTTGAAAAGACTTTAACGATTTGGTGACAATAAAATTGAAGCTAGAACTTTCATTCACTTCTGTTTTCTGTTTTTCACATTTAGTTTAGGAGATAAAGTCCACAAATCGTGGAATAGTTGTGGATTGAGATGACGGTCGAGGAACTCTCGCTGATGCTAAAATCAAGTGAACCGTGACTACGTTGCTTCCCATTTCTGTAATTAACGACCCTCTGTTCGTTTCGATGCCCCAACCCCCGCGTATATATAGTTAAAGGCCTGCACAGTTCAAAGCGTTTACAGTTTTTGAAGCACAGCCCCTTTGGGAGACTGGATCTCATTACTGATTATTCTTTGAAACTCAAAGATGTATGCCCGACATGCGGAATCAGATTACTTTCAAATAAATTTTTTTGCGCCTGTTCTGCTGTTTGGGAATTTATCTTTAAATATCAGAGTCGGAGGGTTTTTTTTCCATACAGTGTATACAAGAATTAACTGTAAATTAAAAACATTAACAAAGCTATGGAAGGTTTAACAACTATGGAAGGTTTTATCTTTAACAACTTAGTAAATTCAAAAAAGCTCGATTAGTAATTGATCGAAAATTCTGTCCTACAATTCAAAGAAGAGAATAATAAATTAAATAATAATCTCTATATTAGAAAAGTAAAAATTAACAATAGTTCTTCATAACAAATAAACAATTCTTCATAGCAAAATGTATTTTTGCTTCTTTAATAAATGTACTTTCCTTTCTGTTTCAGGCTCGACCAGCCGGTGACCAGTTCTTCAACCGGCATGGACGGCAAAAAAGTGAGTCTTGCAAATTTTAAATTCACTTATGTTAATGAAACGGTCTCGTAACACTAGGCGATTTTATCTGCGACGTACCGTAAATGCTTTAAATGGCTATTTGAGAGAATCTTTACCGTTAAAATGTATGCATAAGGACTAATTTATTCTAAACAAAAAAAGCTGGTATTATTTTTGTTTCGAGTAATTTTAATTTTAAGCAATGCTTAACGAAAAGATAACAGATCCTAAAGATTTAATTGTACCGTAAAAATAAGAACCAAGTAAATACAATAATTTAAGGAATAACAAACAATTTAGCATCGGTACAGCATCATTATCATCATCATTCTATCATGACACGAATGTTTTAAAAAATAACAGAATAACAAACAATAATTTAGCATAGTACAGAATCATTATCATCATTCCTATCATGAAACGAATGTTTTTAAAAAATAACAGAATAACAAACAATTTAGCATCGGTACAGCATCATTATCATCATCATCCCTACCATGAAACGAATGTTTTTAAAAATAACAGAATAACAAACAATAATTTAGCATAGTACAGAATCATTATCATCATCATTCCTATCATGAAACGAATGTTTTTAAAAAATAACAGAATAACAAACAATAATTTAGCGTAGGTACAGCATTAGTATCATCATCGTCCTATCATGAAACGAATGTTTTTAAAAATAACAGAATAACAAACAATAATTTAGCATAGTACAGCATCATAATTATCATTCCTATCATGAAACGAATGTTTTTAAAAAATAACAGAATAACAAACAATAATTTAGCGTAGGTACAGCATTAGTATCATCATCATCCCTACCATGAAACGAATGTTTTTAAAAATAACAGAATAACAAACAATAATTTAGCATAGTACAGAATCATTATCATCATCATTCCTATCATGAAACGAATGTTTTTAAAAAATAACAGAATAACAAACAATAATTTAGCGTAGGTACAGCATTAGTATCATCATCGTCCTATCATGAAACAAATGTTTTTAAAAATAACAAAATAACAAACAATAATTTAGCATATAGTACAGCATCATTATCATCATCATCCTATCAGCATATCATGAAACGAATGATTTAAAAAAAGAAAAAAACGGTGTATTTTTAAAGGAAAGTTTATTGAATATTTCACGTGCACAATTGCTCTATTTTGATGGGAGAGAAATAAGAGAGAAATGGAATAGAGAAAAGGAATAAATGGGAATAAAGGTGCGCCCGCTGAAAATTGTCACTTATTCCTGTAGGAGTTCAGCGAGGCGCGCACGTAGAGCGCAATATCTACATACATAGTGTGTATTTACCAGATAGACAGTTTACTCTTTGGTTCAGTGACAAGAAAAGGCCATCGATATTCAGGACAATGGTCGAGTGCACTATACTCGCGCAGAGAGAAAGAGAGAAAGAGAGAGAGAGAGAGAGAGGACACCATTATCGATATACATGAGATAATGAATGGCAGTCTTGCGAAGCCCTGACGATACCAATTTCATTCTCCTTTTTCCACTCACCTTCATACAGTACATATACTGCGCGAAATACTTTCGATAACAAAGAACAAACAAAATTGTTTTCTTTAGGAAAACATTTATAGACCATAAAAATAGCAATGGATTTCAATTTTGAAATTTAACTTCAAGTTAAAAAGTTTAAACTTTAAGTTTAATTTTAAACGAAGATTATTAAATTTCAATTTTTGATTTTAACAGATTTCGCACTAGATAATTAATTGAACCCCTTGATGCAAGAACAAGACGTAGACCATACAAATTAAATGGGCTGCGTTTGGTTCTTGCATTTTATTTTCCTGACTTTTTTCCAATTTTCATCAAAAATATTTACTTCTTTCTCATCCTATTGCTAATAAATTGAATTCTTGCAAAAGATTTTATTAGAATTTTTTAAAATAATTGAATTTCCAAGAAGAAAATGATTACTTTTTGAAATAATTCAATTCTTGTGATGAATATTGTTTTTTATGAAAATAATTGAATTTTGCAAAGAATTTTATTAAAATGAATCAAAATAATTGAATTTTCGGGAATAATTTTGTTATTTATCTTTAATAATTGAATTTTTTCGAAGAATTATTTATACGTAAATAATTGAATTCTTGGGAAGAATTTTATAAAAATCTAAAAGAATAATTGAATTAATTCAAAAAAAGTTCAATTAAAATTGTATTTAAAATAATTGATTTTTTTCGAACAATTTTATTAAAATATTTGAAAATAATTTAATTCCTGATGTGACAAATTCTAATATTTTTGTAAATAATTGAATTCTTCCAAAGAATTTAAAAAAAAACATTTTTTTAAATATTTCATTTTTTGCGGAATTACAGTTAAATTTTTAAGAATAATAACATTTTTTGAGCAATTACTGTACGATTGTATTAAAAATAATTGAAATCCAGCGATGGATTTTATTATTTATAAAAATAATTGAATAGTTGCTAAAAATTTTATTAAAACTTTCAAAAATAATTCAATTTCTGAGAAGAATTTTTTAATGTTTGAAAATAATTAAATTATTGCGAAAAATTTTATTAAAATTTTTGAAATAGAATTGAATTTCTGTGAAAAGTTTTGTTATTTTTAAAAATAATTGAATTTTGCAAAGAATTTTATTAAAATGCCTTAAAATAATTGCATTTTCGGGAATAATTTTGATATTTATTGACATAATTGAATTCTTGGGAAAATTTTTTTTAGAATCTAAAAGAATAATTGAATTATTTTAAAAAAATTTAATTAAAATTATATTTTAAATAATTGATTTCTTTTGATCAATTTTTGTAAAAATTTTCAGAAATAATTGAATTCATGAAAAGAATTTTATTATTTATGAAAATAATTGAATTATTGCGGAAAAATTTTGTTATTTATTAAAATAATTGAATTTTCGCTAAGAATTTTAATAAAATATTTTTAAAAATTATTTAATTCTTTAATGGAATTTAATTAAAATTGTTTTGAAGCTGATTGAATTCTTTCTAAAGAATTTTATCAACATTTTTGGAAATAATTGAATTCTATCGGAGAATTTTATTAAAATTTTATAAAATAATTGAATCTTGTCGAGGAGTTTTATTAAAATTGTATTGAAAATAATTGCATCATTGCAAAGAATTTTATTGCAATTTTTAAAAATAATTGAATTTCTGTAAAAATTTTAATATTTATGAAAATAATTATGATCCCCAAGTTTTGAACGTTCAAATGAACGAAATATTTTTTATTGAAGATATTTTAATAAATTACTAATCACAAACAAATTTAAAAATTAAAAAATTTACGTTTAGCAACTCAGTAATTAATTTTTTGGATAGTAACGCAAAATAATTGCAATAAAAATTTAATTTGGAGAAGAAATAAAAAAATTTCGTTCATTTGAACGTTCAGAACTTTAGGATCTTAAATAATTGAATTGAAAATAATTTAAGGAAAATTTCAAAAAATAATTGAAATCTTATTATGAGTTTTATTATTTATAAAAATAATTGAATAGTTGCTAAGAATGTTATTAAAACTTTCAAAAAAAATTGAATTTCTAAGAAAAATTTTAGAATTTATAAAAATAATTGAATTATTGCGAAAAATGTTATTAAAATGTTTAGAAAGAATTGAAATTCTGTGAAAAATTTTTTATTTATCAAAATAATTGAATCCTTGCTTAGAATTTTATGAAATACTTTTTTAAAAAATTGAATTTCCATGAAAATAGTTATCATTAGTGAAAGTAATTGAATTATTGTGAAGAATTGTATAAAAATTTTGTTAAATAAATGATTTTTTCGAAATTTTTTTGAAAATCCTTTACTAACTGAATTGAATTCCCGTGAGAATTTTAATATTTGTGAAAATACCTATATAATAGAATTTTGTATGAATTTTATGATTTTTTTTTAAATAATTGAATTCTTTTGCTTTTTATGAAAATACTAGATATTAAAAATAATTGAATTTCGAATATTTTTTAAAAATAATTGAATCGTTTTAAAGAATTTGAGACTATAATTTTTTAGAAGTTTTTTGATTTCTAGTCTTAGCGAATTTAAAGTAAATTCGAAAAAAAACAGAAATACCAGCTTTTTGTGGATGAAATCTTAAAAAACTATTTTAATGAATTTTTTTCAGTGGAAAAATTTGGAGAATAATTTAATTTAAATTTTCTTGCAGTAAAAACTTTGATCGAATTTTTAATTTTCCATATTAAAAATTTAAAATAAAAGGAAATATTGTCTTTGAATTTTCTTCTCGTTTCGAGATTCTTTTTCGGTTTATAATTACTTTTTGTTTTTACTGGATTTCATATTTGTACTTGACATACTTATAACTTTTTTACACGCTGAATAAATCGATAACAAATTTAAAATTCTGTATAAATAGCTTCTTTTTTATTTTGATTTTGATTTTAAATAAAATGAATAATGATAAATATTTAAATATATTGACATTTTTCAGTTTCTTTTTTTCTTTTTATAAATAAAGTTGATGCTTAAGGATTGTGTGTGTATATGTACATAAAAGTATAAAATGTATATAAGTGCAGAAAATAAAAATGAAGCTCCATTCTCGAAAATCGATAATACTGAATTCTATTTTCATCCTTAAGCATCAACTTATTTATAAAAAGAAAAAAGCAACACTGAAAAATGTCAAAATTCAATGCCTGTGGGGAATATACGAAAACCGCTTTCCACTTGGCGAGATAAACCTCGTAAAACTCGAGAGCTTCTTTTTCTCGATTACGAGTTTGTCGACTAAAAGCGCCACAACTTTATAAGCAGTGCAGTAAGTTGAGAAACTGTATTGGTAAAACTTACCCACGGGACTTTAGGGGTCGTTCATAAACGGCGTCACATATATATGTGTGTGTATTTTTTCTCCTTTTCCGATCGAACCCCCTTTCTCTCTCGCTCATCTCTTCATCATTGTCTTGTTACAAATTATCACTTTTGAAATTTTTCCTCTCT